TTGATGAAGTTAGAAGAGAGTTAGAAACACCCCCTGCCTCAATCAGAGGCCAGGGTGGCCTGAAGAAGCAGGCTGGAAGTCAGAGAGACAGAAAGAGAGAAACTCCTCCCAGATACCTGGTCAGGGTGTCGGGGTCTGCTTCCAGACACACGGGCCTTTGAGAAGCCGCTGAAGTGTAGCCTCAGCCTAGACTCTATCAGGTGCCCACAGCCTTCTTCAATCCCTCACATCTAAGGAGATGCCTCTGAAAGGGAATCCTGGCCTCCACTCAGCTGACTTTCCCAGCTCCCAGGAGAAACGGGGGAACCACTGAGGAAGATGCAGGGGAACTTGTCACTCCAGACTTTGAGATCGACAGCTGGGCTAGTCCCATGTAAGTGGCTGACAAGCGCCCAATGCTGTGTGCCATAGACGGCTTCCATCTATAAGGACAGTGAAAGAAAAGGCAGGCTTGGATGCCAATACTCACCTCTGAAGCTATCCCGGATGAGCTCCCAAAGATGATGCCGAGGTTCTTGTTCATGAAGCCGAAGAATGAGCTTCACAAACACTCAAGGTAGGAGAGCAAGGGCAGAGGCTTTTATTTAGAAATAAAGCAAGAGAATAGAGCTCCTGGCTCATGCCAGGAGGGGATAAGAGAGCCCCTTATTCCTAAGTATTTTATTCTTTTTGATGCAATTGTGAATGGAATTGTTTTCCCCACTTTCTGCTAGTTCATCGTTACTGTATAGGAATACAACAGATTTCTGTGTATTAATTTTGTATCCCACAACTTTGCTGAACTGAGATATTAGATCTAGTAGTTTTGGAGTGGATTCTTCAGGGTGTTTTATGTACAATATCATGTCATCTGCAAACAGGGACAGTTTGACTTCCTTGCCTATCTGGATGCCTTTTATTTCTTTGTGTTGTCTGATTGCCATGGCTAGGACCTCCAGAACTATGTTGAATAAAAGTGGGGAGAATGGGCATCCTTGTCTTATTCCAGATCTTAAAGGACTAGCTTTCAGCTTCTTGCTGTTAAGTATAATGTTGGCTGTGGGTTTGTCATATGGCCTTTATTATGTTGAGGTACTTGTGCTCTATACCCATTTTGTTGAGAGAGTTTTTATCATGAATGGATGTTGAATTTTGTCAAATGCTTTTTCAGCATCTATGGAGATGATCATATGGTTTTTGTCCTTTTTGTTGATGTAGTGGATGATGTTGGTGGATTTTCGAATGTTGTACCATCCTTGCATCCCTGGGATGAATCCCACTTGATCATGATAGAAGATCTTTTCGGTGTACTTTTGAATTCAGTCTGCTAATATTTTGTTGAGTATTTTTGCATCTATGTTCATCAGGGATATTGGTCTGGTGTCTTTGCCTGCTTTTGGTATTAGAGTGATGTTGGCCTTGTAGAATGAGTTTGGGAGTATTCCCTCCTCTTCTACTTTTTGAAAAACTTTAAGGAGGATGGGTATTAGGTCTTCACTAAATGTTTGATAAAATTCAGCAGTGAAACCATCTGGTCAAAGGATTTTGTTCTTAGGAACGTTTTTGATTACCAATTCAATTTCTTTGCTGGTAATTCATCTATTCAGATTTTCTCTTTCTTTCTGGGTCAGCCTTGGAAGGTTGTACTTTTCTAGAAAATTGTCCATTTCTTCTAGGTTATCCAGCTTGTTAGCATATAATTTTTCATAGTATTCTCATAATTCTTTGTATTTCTGTGGTGTCTGTAGTGATTTTTCCTTTCTCATTTCTGATTCTGCTTATGTGTGTGTAGACTCTCCTGTTTTCTAGATAAGTCTGGCTAGGGGTTTATTTTTTTGTTTATTTTCTCGAAGAACCAGCTTCTGCTTTCATTAATTCTATTGTTTTATTTTTCTCAATTTTATTTATTTCTGCTCTAATATTTATTATGTCCCTCCTTCTACTGACTTTGGGCCTCATTTGTTCTTCCTTTTCTAGTTTCATTAATTGTGATTTTAGACTGTTCATTTGGGATTGTTCTTCTTTCCTGAGGTAAGGCTGTATTGAAATATATTTCCCTTTTAGCATAACCTTCGCTGCGTCCCACAGATTTTGTGTTGTTGAATCATTGTTGTCATTTGTCTCTATATATTGCTTGATCTCTGTTTTTATTTGGTCATTGATCCATTGATTATTTAGGAACATGTTATTAAGCCTCCATGTGTTTGTGGGATTTTTCATTTTCTTTGTGTAATTTATTTCTAGTTTCATAACTTTGTGATCAGAGAAGCTGCTTGGTACAATTTCAATCCTTCTGAACTTACTGAGGTTCTTTTTGTGGCCTAGTATATGATTTATTCTCAAAAATGTTCCATGTGCACTTGAGAAGAATGTGTATCCTGGTGCTTATGGATGGAGTGTTCTGTAGATATCCATTGGGTCCATCTGTTCTAATAGGTTGTTCAGTGCCTGTGTCTCCTTACTTATTTTCTGTCCAGTTGATCTGTCATTTGGAGTGGGTGGTGTGTTGAAGTCTCCTAAAGTGAATGCATTGCATTCTATTTCCCACTTTAATTCTGTTAGTATTTTTTTCACACATGTAGGTGATCCTGTGTTGGGTGCATAGATATTTATAACAGTTATATCCTCTTGTTGGACTGACCCTTTTATCATTATGTAATGTCCTTCTTTGTCTCTTGTTACTTTGTTTTGAAGTCTATTGTGTCTGTTACAAGTACTGCAACTCCTGCTTTTTTCTCCGTTAACTGCATGAAGTATCTTTTTCCATCCCTTTACTTTCAGTCTGTGTATGTCTTTGGGTTTGAAGTGAGTCTCTTATAGGCATCATATAGATGGGTCTTATTTTTTAATCCATTCAGTGACTTTATGTCTTTTGATTGGTGCATTCAGTCCATTTACATTTAGGGTGATTATTGATAAGTATGTACTTACTGCCATTGCAGGCTTTAGATTCGTGGTTACCAAAGGTTCAAGGGTAATTTCTTTAGTATCTAACAGTCTAACTCTGTTATTACAAACCCAACCTAAAGGGTCTTCTTTATTCCCCCTCCTTTCTCTTCCTCCTCCATTCTTTGTATGTTATTAATCATATTATGTACTCTTTGTCTATCCCTTGGGTGACATCTATTCAGCCTTAGGAGCACTTCCGTCTATAGGAGTCCCTCCAAAATGCACTGTAGAAGTGGTTTGTGGGAGGTAAATTCTCTCAACTTTTTCTTATCTGAAAATTGTTTAATCCCTCCTTCAAATTTAAATGATAACCTTGCCAGGCATAGTATTCTTGGTTCAAGGCCCTTCTGCTTCATTGCATTAAATATATCTTGCCACTCCCTTCTGGCCTGTAAGGTTTCTGTTGAGAAGTCTGATGATAGCCTGATGGATTTTCCTTTATATGTGATCTTTTTTCTCTCTCTAGCTGCTTCTAAAAGTCTGTCTTTATCCTTGATCTTTGCCATTTTAATTATTTTATTTCTTGGTGTTGTCTTCCTTGCATCCCTTGTGTTGGGACATCTGTGCACCTCCATGGCTTGAGAGACTATCTCCTTCCCCAGATTGGGGAAGTTTTCAGCAATTACCTCCTCAATGACACTTTCTATCCCTTTTTCTCTCTTCTTCTTCTTCAGGTACTCCTATAATACAAATATTCTTCCATTTGGATTCATCACACAATTTTCTCAATATTCTTTCATTCTTAGAGATTCTTTTTTCTCTGTGTCACAGCTTCTTTGTATTCCTCTTCTGTAATTTCTATTCCATTTACCGTCTCTTCTACTACATCTAATCTGCTTTTAAATCTCTCCATTGTATGTTTCATTTCAGATATGGAATTTCTTAATGATTGAATTTCTGACTTAAATTCGTTACTGAGTTCTTGAATATTTTTCTGTACCTCCATAAGCATGTTTATGATTTTTATTTTGAACTCTCCATCAGGCAGATTGGTGAGTTCAGTTTCATTTGGGCCTTTTTCTGGGGTTTGTGAGATTTTGGTCTGACCTATATTCTTTTGACATTTCCTATTTCTATGTGGTGCCCACTAGTGCCCAGAAGCTCCAGTCTCTGGAGCTGCTCAGTCCCTAGAGTGAGGTTGGGGGTCATTAGAGAGGGGAGCTGGTGCCTGTGTAAGAAAAGATCTATTTCCTGATTCCCGTCTGCAGTACCTGTCTCCAGTGTCAGAGCCAGTGGGCCAAGCACACAGGTGTAAGCCTCTGTGCTTTGCTTCTCTAGCTGTTGTTGGCAGGGCCTCCCTCTGGCTGGCCTGATGCCAGCACAGTGACTGCAGGTTTGTGAACCAGTGTTGGCAGGCTAGGAGGAAGGCGCAGCAGGCTGCATGTCACAGTGAGGGGCCTTGGAGCTGAGTAGACAGCCAGGGGGATGGGGCCCCTGAAGCTCCTCAAAGTTCCCAACTAGCTGGGCTGAGTGCACCCAGACAACCTTGTCCAGCTCTCCCCTCCCCCGCGTAGCAAGCTCCGTGAAAACCCCACTCCTCCAGCAGACCTCTCACTGCTAGGAAGCCTCTCAGACTGCCTGCCTTTCCCTTCTTCCAGAGCGGCTGGGTGTGGATTCCCTCCTCCACAAATGGCCATAATCTGCACTCCACCTGTCTGAGCTCCCCAGCATCCAGAGCACCACACAGTATAGGTTTCTGCTCCCAAAGCAGACCTCCAGGTCTGGGTGTTCAGCACTCCCAGGCTTCCACCCCCTCCCCTGCTGTTTCTCTTCCTCCTGATGGTGAGCTGGGGTCAAGGAAGGGCTTGGGTCCCACCTGATTAAGGCTTTCCTACATTACCCTGTTTCTTGAGGTCTGCTCTGTTCGTAAGGTCTGTGTGCAGTCTGGTTCAGCCTTTCTTGTTGTTTTAAGGTTGTATCAATTAACTACATTTTCATACTGTCTGTGGTTTTCGGAGGAATTCTCCATCTCACCTCTCATGCCGCCATCTTGAATGCATTATCATTTTTATATAGTTGTAATGAAGGCATAAATTTTTTATGTAACATTTAAATTTTCCTTTCTTCTACAGATGGCCAGTACCATTGATATGACTCTTCAAAGAGACATCATGACAATGTTTGAAAACAACTTTGATTAACTTTTAATTAACCATCAGCTTAAAATGAATGATATAAAAAAGATATAAATGTATATGGTATGTTTGCTTTCAGACACCAAAATATCTTATATTGTATTTTGACTGCATTAATATGATTAAACAATTTTCACTTATATTTTTTAATAGCTGTATGTTCATTTTTAAATTACATAACTATAACTACAGGAAATTTTATAATTTTGGATCCCTAAAAATAAATTTCCAGGTGTGACTCATTTTACAAATAATTGTCTACTATGTATCACAGACTCTGTAAGCAATCCAAGTCCCTAAGAGCTCCATATTTAAAAATGAAAAATATATAAGAGTATATAAGAAAACATACTTCTTGTTGAGTTTTTAACTTTTAAAACAAGTATTTGTCTGCCTTCAAAAATATTTACAACCTCTAACAAATGATATTTGGTTTCTTTGAGTGTCAGGCTAAATAAGATACTCTGCTGATTCTATATTCAAAATTTATATTGAAATTTAGTTTAAAGAATTAACATTATGTAAGTTTCTATAGGAACATCTATTAATATGTGTGACAGCAATGAATGTTTTAACTTTTACTTATAGTCTTTTCAAATTTAAATCTAAAGTACTTTTTGTTTCATCGTTCTCAAGTTGCACTTATGTATAAATTTATGTGTCAGCTTCATGTATTTTAAAGTTTTGGATTCACATGTAACATGGCTCAGACACACTAAGTTATTATGATGTAATCTAAAGTAAAAATTCAATATTTGTACTCTAGAAAGAGAAGTCCATTCGTTTTTTAATCAATATAATAATTTTTGAAGTATCTTAAACTATCAGCCATTTTAAAAACATGATTATCTAGTGGCTAAAATGGTAGTGATGCCTTCATGAAACAGCCAGAATGCAAGTAACAGTTATACCTTTTCAACTATACCTATTTTTAATCAAGAAATTAGTGTGTATATACTAAACAGTATGCATTTCCTAAAAGATCATATATATATATATATATAGATATGTCTATATTTCATATATTCAATATGTATTTTTGGAAAGATACATCAGAAATACACAATTGCCTCTAGTGGCTGCGTTTAGGTGATGGGATTACAGGTTTGTTTTTTTCATTTTCTTCAGACTTTTCAGTATTTTCTGTTTCTTTTTAATATTATGTAATACCTTTAAGACCTATGGGAAATATTCCATTTTGAAGAGAGAATGAAAATAGTAAATAAAAATTTACTTCTGTCAAATACACATTAACTCTTTCAACAACTGCCTTTAACTAATAAAACTGGTCAGTTAATTATCTTTGTCTATTAAAAGAAATTAAGTTTTATTAACATATCCTTTTACATTAAAGAATAGGGCTTACTTGAGGTTTTCCTGTAAATACTTGAGCAGCCCTTATTGAGAGCTATGTTATGGTTATCAGTGTTTTTGTTGAACCAACTTAACACTAACCTTTGCTCAGTCTGTAGGGGGCCTGTCATGTTGTAAATACTCAATAACCTTTTTGTAGGTTGATGAAAAAGTCAGTAGAGAAGATATCAGCTTATAACTGATTCTTATATTATGCATTATTCTTTAGTAAAAGATTGTTTGGCTTCTCAACTTCTTGCAGAGTTTACTTCTGTTAACTACATGCATGATATATTGCATGTAACTTTTTTTTGCCTTTAAGTAAATCCTCACTTTGTGAGAACCCCTTGCCTGTACTCATCTCTTACTCCTCTCCAACCTCTGTAATGTTTTCATTGTATTTTCTAGGGTTCCTGATCAGTCCTGAACAACATTCCCTATATAATAAACCTTTTCGCTTGTTTTTTCCCTTTTTATTCTTGAGTCGTTCTGGAAGTGCCTCCAGACCAGCTGTATCAGTACATCAGCATTATCTGGGATCACTGTAGGAATGCAAATTCTCAGACTTCATCTTAACTAAATCAAAACGTGGGGCTCAGCGATCTGTAGTTGAACAAGCCCTCCAGGTGATTCTAATACACTGAAGTTTGAGAACCACTTCTCTAACTGAACATGGACTCTCTCCTGCAGGCTTTTGTTTCATGCCTGTTTCTTCAGTAATGTGTTTCTTACCTTTGGAGTGCCACTTGCTGACTATTCCTCCTCACTAAATACCCCCACCTTTGTTTTTCATGATCATCAGACTGTACTCATAGTCATTTGCCATCCCTGGTTCACTCCTTGTTCCCAGAGAATTTAGGTTCTGCCTCACTGTCACTCTCAGACACTTTTCCTCAGTCCCTTAACTGCTGTGCCAATGATCTTAATATCTAATCAACTATAGCCACCCCTTTGTCATTACCAATAACTAAAACCCTTCCTTAGTCTCAATATCAAGCACCCTAGTCTCTTACTATCTCCTCCTATCTTTTCCTAACTTGACTCCAGACAGGACCTTGACTCCAATAATAATTAGACCTCATTAAGGACCTACTATCCATTAATCCTAGTCTCTTTTCACAGTAACTCTCCCCTTCGGGCCCTCACATCTCTCTAATCCAGAGTTTAGGGTGTATTATTTAGAGTCACTCCCTTACATTCACTCTCAATCTCATTACTCCTTTTTGCTGTTGTATTCACTTGGCAGAACTCAAATCCTTATTAAATCCATTTTCCTGTTCTGTACCCATGAAGCCAACAGTAGCTAGAGGAACACATGCAAACATGATCTCCAGTCATGTTTCAAATGCACAAGCATAAACTCAAGCCAACCATAATGCTGCCCAGAAATCCTGTGCATTTGCATGGTCCATTCTCCTTAAAGAGTCAATTCTTTTGTATATCCATTGTGCCTAGACCTTCAGTACCAGCTCCACCACCATCAATCTGTGCTGTCTATTTCTTTTTCACTAAGGTGAAAGAAGCAATCTGAGGAGGATTTCCACAGGCTTCCACTACCACATCATAAGAACACTATTCAGATGCTCGTTTTCCCCTGCTACTGAGGATGAATTGCTTAGGCTCTCATTTAAGGTAGAGATCTTAATTTTCTTCCCCAGGGTCATTGCTGTAGCAATTCTGGTTTCCACCATCAGTGATCCCTCGTCTAGGTAGTTACCGGCATACCAACTGGTTTTTCTGGAGGTCAAAACTCAGCCTTCTTCAAGTTGGCTCCTCAAATCCTCCTCCCATTTAGAATTTTTTTCTTTATAGGAATTCAAAAATTATTAAGATACAACTCACCCTTCAAAGTGAATTTCAGTGCTTTTTGGTGTAGTCACTCTTTATGAAAATTCTTGTTTCCTTTTATTTATGGTTCTTCATATATCCTAGGTAGTAATATTTTATAAATACTGTCTGTTACATGTCAATTTATTAATTTGTACATAATTATGTAGCAGTCAACAGTTGAAGCCAATTTGCCAATACAAATACTAGTCATTTATACATGAATATAACTATAAACTGTTATTTTCTCATTTTTAATCACAAAGCTTTCAGATATGATTTAAAGATAAAATATAGAGATAGTAAGAGTTTCTTCCCCACCCCAATTATTAAGATATCAAAACTTACATTATTTTAGTCTCTACACTATTCCAAATATGGACATGTAGGGACTTTGAGGGGCTTGTGTTTTACAAAACACAATTATTTACATATGTTACCAACTGCTTTTTAATGCACCATAAGCATCTGTCTAGGTCTTTAGATGGATATGGACTAGTTCTTTTTTTTTTTAAAGGCTGCACAGCATTACTTAGAATAGCCATAGCATAATTCATATAAATTTTCTGTTGATTCCTTTGATTCCAGTCTTTTTCCACCATGAACAATGCTGAAATATCCTGTTTAAAATAGCTTTACACAACTATGCTTCTATTTCTAAAGAGTAGAGCTCCTGGATAAGAAGTTAATAGTCAAAAGAGGTAGTTTTAAATAGAATATATGGTGCCAGTAACTTCAAAAAAATGTTAGAGCACATCACATTCCTGTAAGTTGAAAGTACTACTTTCCCATTATCCCCACCAGCACTGGATGTTACTGCTCTCATATTCCTTGTTAACCTGCATGGAAAAACTATAATTGGTTTCTTTAATTTGCATTTCCCAGACTACAAATGGAGTTCATTATCTTTCATTTGTTAGCCATGTGACTTGCCTAGTCACTAATGTCATTTAGTCATTCTCCTTTTGGGTTATCTTCTTCCTATCAATTTGTAGGCTCCTTCCTTCCTTATCTGCCTTCCTTTGTTAAGCAGGAAAATAGATATGAGTGAGGTGGAGAGGAAGGTCAGTAAAGTCCACTAGAAAGGACTCAGTTAACCAGTTAAAACTAGAAAGCCAGAAAATACTCAGAGTTAATCAGTTAATCAGTTAAAACTCAAAAGGTCAGGAGCAACTTGGCCTTGAATGTTTGAATACTTCCCAGAAATGAAAAGTATCTGAGCATAGCCCATGTCTTCATTGTGTCAATTAGATCATGCCATTGTAAGATTTACTTTAGCCTGCTAAAAGGCCCACCTATAAATAGCATAATAAAGACAGGAAGATTGCATCTTAAAGCTAAAATTGCATTTTAAAAAACCCAAGAAGTTAAGAAGTAAAATTCTTAACATACTCTTTAGCAAACAGACAATAACTCAGCCCACCTTGGAGAAAGGGCAGGCAGTCTTGATTCATATGCTCCCAGATGAAGAAGTTGCTATCCTGGGAGGGAACCAGAACAGTAAATTTCTTGTGTTAAGCTGATTTGCAGAACTACCTGGAAGACTGATGTAAATCTGGGGAAAGGAAATCCCGGGGCAAAATACCTCTAAAAACCAAAATCAGTCTGTTAGGGTCCAGGCTTCCGAGGCTTCTCCAGAGAACAAACTACACAGGCATAGAGATGTAAATTCAAGCAAAGTCTTTATTTAGCCAGCTTGCTGTTTTCCATGTCAGCCCGATGCAGCGGGTCTCAACAAGGACCCCGAGCACTCAGAGCCAAGGGTTTATATAGCAATTTCAAAGCACTTAACTCATAGCAATTTTCTATAACTATACATTATTCTTGCAAGACATATATCCTGGGGTTAAGCAAGGGCAGGGTAAGACTACTCCTCAATGGTTAGGGAGGTTCTGCACGATAAGCTTGGTATGTAAGATTAACTGACCAAGGTTAGC